TTAATATAGAACTATTGCATCCAGATAATGTTCTCTTTCTATTATACTGCTTCCCAAAAAGTAAACACATCAAACCACCTCATTCTTACATAAATAATGTCAAAACATTTTTTCTTGCATAAATAATACCACACTTTTTAGTGGAAATTGATAATCGCTGGTACATTTAGCTGAAATTTTTTCAAAATGTTAAATATTTGATAAAATATGTTATTCTCTGTTTTGTTCAAGTGAAATATTTTCCATGTTGAGCAGTGTTTACTTGAGCCTTTGACTTCTTTTAGCAGGGGTTGGTGAGGTGATATATCTATATGTATGTTTGTGTATATATTTCTATGTATTTATGTATTCATATTTTTATTACCTTGTATCATATTGAACCATTTGAAGGAAATGTTTCAATAATGACTTATTCAGCCAATGCTATATAGCTGAATTATTATTAAACAATATGTACTCTCATTAAAGTATGCAGTCAGTATTGTTTTACATAGAACCGTTGCATCCTAACTTATTCTCCAACATAAAGACTGATTCATTTAGTCAATAAATTCGAAAACTGCAAATTCTTACTAGAAAACATCCAGCCTCATAGCGGAGTGTTCACTTCACTGTATGTGGATATCCTGTACTAGGTCTAGGAGCAATGGAGAAGGACTAGCTCCATGCGCTTACCCCAAGGTTCCTATTGCCTATCACTGACAAGAGACCATTCTAGATAACCATGAAGGGAGTCCAGTGTACTTGTGCTAGAACCAAACTGCCTGGGTTCAAATTTTGGCCACTTTTTATTATTGGAAGATATGGTGTGAGCACCTTAATCTCTTTGGGTCTCTGCTTCCTTATCTGTGAAATTAAATGATGAACTCATCTCATGCAATTTTTTAAGGCTTTAAATGAGCTAAAACATGTAAAGCACTTAGAACAGAACCTGGCACATAGTGACTATTTTAAGTATATCATATAAATGAGTAAAATCCAATAAAAGCTATCAGTACACAAGCTATTCTGGCAAGGAACAGAAGATTTTTCTCTTGAATCTTAACATCAAGAATTTCATGATCATGAAACCAAGGACATTTCCTTTCTGAGAACATTTATTCATCCTTTGTGTTTGTGGTTCAAAGGAGGAAAGGAGGAGCATATAGTTTTCCTTTTCCTATTCTTTCTCAATATCATTTTGAGAAGCTATTAAATCTCTGAGAGGTCTGAAAAATGTGACTTTTATAAAAGCAGTCATAACCATACCTGACTCCTACGCCAGCCCCAAGGGTTCTGGAGGTCCCTGACATCTGGGTTCAACTGACCCTTCAAAACAAAACGAAAATATTTTACATGCCAGTCAAGAGCTGTGACCCAAGGGAATAGTCAGATTGATTATTTTCAATGGTGTTCCATGCAATAGAGAATCAGTACATAACTGGGAGTTATAGTAAGGCCTTGGAATATGGTTACCCTTTTGTTAGTCCTCAGGTGGCATGAACTACCACTTGGTCTTAGGTTTTCTGGAATAAAACTACTTCCATACATTGCTTCTTATCAAGAAGAAAATACAGATAAGCTATTTTGTGTATCCACTGGGATAGTCCAGAGACAGAACGCAGAGCTGGTCTTTGGCACTTTAAGTGTACCATCCTCAGCTTGGGCAGGTCCGCAGGAGTGTAGACCCAAGGCCTGAGGAGTGTTCATATTATTGGCTTTTTCTCTGGGTTTTGTGTCTGTTTTATAACTCTTCTCTTACACTAGTGCCTCATCACACACGAGGGCCTTATTTCCCAGGTTCTGAATTCACTTTATGTAAAATACTGCATGGTGGTCTGATTAGTGCTTGTGAGACAAAAGACAGATTTTCTCCACCTTTAGTATTTCATATATTTTTGTCTTGTCCCAACTTCCTTATAACCTCCCAATTTCTCTTCTCAGTTCTGGTATACTTGGTGTTTCCATAGCATGTTAGAGCTGACTTCCTTGTGATCATTTTCAGTAGTTACACAACAAATCATGTGCAGAGCCGGAGCCAGTACTTAACCAAAGAATGAAATGGAAAAACTCCGCCAAACCCCCAGCTTCATAATCTTTATTTAATAAAAACTCTACTGTGTTATTTAGTGTGGTCTCTGTTTTTAAAACTTGAGCAGTCAATCTATTTTTAGGACAGGGTACTAAGGTCTACTGCATAAGTGATTTAGACTTACAAGAATACAATGGACCAATTCCTAGAGTTAAAAAAGAAAAAGAATTTGTTTGAAAAAAGTCTCTCGAATGTAGCTATTGAGTTTCAAATGTTCTCTTATTTCCTAAAGGCCTATATTTTGGAATTTCTTCGTGTTTTCTAGAACAGGTTCCATGTTCTAAAATAGAAATTCCTACTTGCACCCTGGCTGGTGTGGCTCAGTGGACTGAACGCTGGCCTGCAAACCAAAGGGTCAAGGGCTCGATTCCCAGTCAGAGCATGTGCCTGGGTTGCAGACCAGTCCCCAATAAGGGGTATGGGAGTGCTTCAGAGGCAACCACACATTGATGTTTCTCTCCCTATCTTCCTCCCTCCCCTTCTCTAAAATAAATAAATAAACAAAATCTTTTTTTTTTTTTTTAAGGAAATTCCTACTTGCCTTGTTCACTAATCACAAATATATTCCAAAATAATCCCTGGCACATAGTAGGTGCTCAGTAACTATTGGTTGACACTTTAGCCTTCCACATTTCTTCTTACTGGGGTGTTGTTTCCTGTTAAGCATAATATTCAACAACTGCCATGTGCTATTATATGATTTTTTTCATAGGCACTTACATAGTAACTCTTTATCTCTCTAAAATCCAGCTATTTAGCAGTCTTGCCAATGTGGATTCTAACTAAAATAAAGAAGGAAACTGATACCTACTATTGTAGTTTAATATATTCTGTTTAAGAAGACAGGGAAACATACATCTGGGAAATCTTTTCATCACAAAGGTTTGACAAGGTGCAGTACTAGAATCAGACATATCAGTGGCTGTCAGCAAGTCGATTAATCTCTTTGGCTTTGGTTTTCTTATCCCTTAAATGTGAGAGCTGTACCCAGTTGAACTCTGAGGCCCCTTCCAACTCAAAGACGTCTGTGATCCTATGATTCTTCAGCAGCCTCCTCTTTCCAGGCCTTTTTGCTCATCTGTAAAATGAGAGAGTAGACAAGTATCAAAGCCCTAAATGTGACTTATTTAAAGGAATGAACTTAGAGCTATCCAGAAAACCTAGCTCTCTAGAATGGCCATTCCCCCAGGATATTGGTTAACCAAGATATTCTTGTACAGTAATATGTAGTCAAAAGGACTAATTTAGTGCTTAGGAAAACATCTGGGATTGGTTATAATTAGAAAAATCCTACTTATTCATAGGTAATGTTGACTTTAGTGTGTATAAATTACCATCTTGTTGGATGTTACCATCTTGTATGTTTTCTTCCCCCCTTTTCGGCTATAGTTCTGTTTGAGATAAGAGGGGGTTTGGGTGTGTATCACACAGGAGCCTAAGGGGGTTAAGTTTTTCTCCTGACAGTACTAGCCACCCCATTCCTGTTCCTTAGGGCACTGTTAAGTGGTATCCAACATCACAGCCAGAGCAGGTGAAGTGCACTGCTGGACTGCCCTGCATCCCAGCATCTGTTCCATGCAGTGGTATCTGCTTTCAAAAGCCTGTGTTTGCAGAACTGGCTGGTACTGTTAGAGAGGAACACACTAATCCTCTGATAGTGACTCCAGAAGAGGAGGGTGGAGCAGAGAAGATTAGAAGACCAGAACATTTGGTTAGCTGTCTGTGTGTGATACCTAGCCATGATCCTTTCTAAGCACTGATGGAAATGAGTTAACAAGATGGTTTCAGCAATTCTATATCCAAGACAACTTTGCCTTATAGAAGTAGGAAGATGAAACTAAGTCTTACTTCTCTGCAGAAGATGGCCAGCCCAGTCTGGTTTAATACTGCTTTTACTTTAGCTGCTTTCCTTGTTCATGAACTTTTAGTAAACCTGTCATATGTTGTCTTGTTTCTGCCTGGTGTTGAAGAGCCTTTAAATTTTGTCCACACACTCACTCCTTCCTATTCAGCCAACCTTATTTCCCACAATTTCTTAACCTTATTCTAAGATGCCACAATTTACTTGGTATATTCTCTTGCAGCTTTTGTTCATTTCTTTCTAACTGAATCTTCTTCCTCATTACTTAAATCCAACCCCCTCTTCAAAATTTAACTGAAGTCCCATGTCTTTCACCAGGTGTTCCCTGAGGACTCTGCGCTTTACTGCTCAGAAGCCCTGAAAGGCCCTCTCATAACCCCAAATTTAAGTATATTCATATTCTTCCCTGTAGAATACATTAATTTTGTCTCCTGCACGGTTATAGGCATAGAACGGAATACATACTAAATACATTTCTAAACCTTGATTGGGAAGGGGGTTAAGTTTCAAAGACAGTCTGTAGTCAGTCTTTTTTTTTTTTTTAAAGAAAGATGCATTTGTGTTCCAATCTGGCAAGGCAAACACAGTGATGATGGAGGCCATAGGTTGCCACGCATGGTGGGCAGGTAAAGGCAGCCTCTACTATTGTGTCTCATGGATGATCCTGGAAAGTTATTTGTAGGACTTTGAAATAATTGAGTCATTTAACATAAGAATTAGTGTGTTTATGAGAGAGAGAGAGGGAGGGAGGGAGGGAGGGAGGGAGGGAGAGGGATTGAAAGACAGGGAGGAGGAATGAGAGTTTACAGGATGGGAGACATATGGAGCTTGGATATTTAAGGTAATGCAATATTCATCGCTACCCCTGCTTCCCAGCACACACACTCTTTTTTATCTAGTCTTGCTGTTTCACCTCTTCAGGAAACAGGCCAGGCCTGCTAAATGTGATCCATCAGAACGCATTCTTAAGTTAAATTCATGGCCAAGCCTTCAAGGTCAAATTTATAGACTTTCAATTTCTGTGTCTATCTTTGCCCCCAACACTGTCTCTTTCTTGTCCCAAATTAGGTAAATCCCACAGCCCAGTGTACCCACGCCTTGTTGAAGATGATTTACTGCTCCCACTGCCAGGGTCTAGTGACTGTGAAGCCATGTTACAACTACTGCTCGAACATCATGAGAGGCTGTTTGGCCAACCAAGGAGATCTTGATGTTGAGTGGAACAATTTCATAGGTGAGCAAGCAATTAATGTATTTGTATCACTGAAAATAGCTCAGCTTCCTGCCACAGGGAGTATTGTAATCATCAGGTATGAAATTTTTGTTTGGTATTTAATGTTTGCTAGTGTTTTGACTGTACTCAAAGTTCATACCATTATACAGCTAAGCATTCTCTTGAAGTAATGGTGGCATTTCTGAAGACACTAGACACAGAGAATACCAAGTTTTAATAAAGAAAAAGCGACTTGTTTTACATCCGCCCCACAGGTCAGTTTTAGTTATGCGTCATAGGCTTGTATCTGTGTATGGTAAATGCTGGCGTACAATCGTCACTGTGCTCCAGAAGTGGCTTTTAAAATGGTCTACCTGTTACACTGCACCCAAATCTACACATTGGCCAGATACCTATTGGATATTTGCATCAGGTGAAATCTTACTGTAGACATTTAGAGGTTCTCTTTCTGTAGAGGATTTAACAATAACAGTTTGCTCTGGTGAGGATAGAAAAACTTTTTGCCCTGTGATAATTGTGGAGGTAAACATTCTCACAAAAACTCAAAACCTACAAAACCATTACTGGAACCCAGACAGCAATGTAAGTCAAGTGGCCAGTTTCTGAGAGGGTTAATTATGAATTGTGGGGAAGGGCAAATTAAAGATGATTTAATGTCCAGTCATCAAGTCCCTTGATGCCTACCTAACGCACACGTTAGTCCTGAAACATCAGTATTGAAGCTCCTAATGCTGAGGGTCTAGTGAGGCCACACACACATGCTGATAGTTCACACAAACAAACTCAGATTTCCACCCCCATCTCCCAGTCACATTTGCATAACTGCAAAATTTGAGTGTCTTTATAAGCACCTATTTTTCACTTACTTGTCCACATCATGGGAACATGTATGCAATTTGCTGGCTTTATTTATTTATTTTTTTTGGTGGGGGAATTGGCAGTGGGGGATGCATTTTAGTCTGCATGAGAGCTAATTACCATATTAACTCTGAAAGTGCATCAATAAATTGGCTCCAACAGATTCTTGAGAACACTGACACAGAAAAAAAAAAGATGTGAATATTAAACACTTCAGCACAATTGTAGTCTAAATAGCTCAAAGCTAGAAGACCTGAAAAAAAATCTTTTACACACAGAAAAGCAGAATCCCATGAAAGGGAGGGCGTAAGACCAGCAAAGACACACATGCACAAATAGCACATCATGCCCAGAATGAAACCATGGGAGAGAGTGTTGCTTTAAAATATTTCCCATGGAAATAAAAGCCAATGGCATTTGCAGATCTAAAGTTGATGGGTGTTTTTTTTTCTTGCTCTTTTTTAAATCCCATTCTCACCCCACACTTAGATGTCTAAGTTTACAATTTATTTTTGCCAAATTTATTTTTTTGAGGTTGCTTAGCCCTTTTACTTCACCCTATAACTTCTAGTGCACTGGTTCTCTGGGCAAAGGAGTAGAATTTACCACGTAGTACCCCAAAAAATGTATGGTGGTAGTGATCTAGTGTTGTTAACTTTTCTACAGACACATCAGGAATAAGGTGCAGAGAGGCATGCCTCTTGTGTTATTGTATTATTCTAATATTCTGGCCAAAACTGTAACTCTTATCCTTGTATTAAAATTAAAATTCTACGTATTTTTCCGAAGAGTTTGCTGGTCCATCCATATCAAATCAAAACCATACTCGGCTTGCTTAATAACTGTTTTCAACAAGGTACCCTAAAACAAGGACTTAGGTTGCTGTTGCTGTTCTCATGTGTTTTAAAAATGACATTTGTTATCTTTGAAGAAATAAAGTTAAACCCCAGTGAAAAGTGATAGAATTTCTGAATCAGTTTTCCTCAATTATTTTAAATGATACTTTTTGGAGGGTTGAGGTGTATAATTGTATCTAAACTTCATGTTTAGTGGATGTTTTAATCTTTATTTTTAAAAAGCTGATATAAAAGGCCAGGAATAATGGACATTGTTAATCTCCAGTGCTTTTCATGAATTTTCACAAGGCTCTACTTAATTTGCTCTGTGATTGCAGAATTCAGTCCCAATTTACATGCCTCTGCTACAAGTGCTATACGTAGTTTTCTTCCCCCCCAAAGAATTTTTCTTTCCCCTTTAAATGATTGCAATTAATGAATGGTCAACCCCCCCCCCCAATACTTCTTTAAATCAGATCTTGGGGTTAAGTCAGGAAACTTTTTGTTCTTCCAGTCCTGTCCTGAGGCTGAAGATGTGGGTTTCTGATTATTGGCGGCACAGTGCAAAAGGAATCACATTCCCTAGCAAGAAGGGATGGCCTTATTGCTGGGGGTGTGGGGGAAGCGACTCAGTGCTGAGATTCTGAGCAAAGAAATCCTGCAGTTGGACTACACGCTTTAAGAGACTAAGGATGAGTTTTTCAAATCTGACTTCTGGTTGCCATGCCTAACCCTTTCCTCTGTTTAACTGCATCTATTCAAGTATTGTCAGCCTTTATCAGGGTGGATCCAAATATTTGAAACACTTTGGGCTTGGTTTTGTAAGAGGTTGGTTCTATGAAACCTTTAGTTCGAATATATTCCCTGCCCACCCCACTCCCCAACCCCCAAAAAATCAATTTCTGGACCATCATAAACTATGCTTAGGTGCTGCTTGTTCTCCATCACATACTGTAGTAGTGTTAACATTGTTGGACTTGTAGCCAACCTTAATAATGTCACATGTTGCTGCCAGTGTGAATTTAGTATTAGGGTATTGGGATGGCTTGTGGAGATACCAGCCAGTTCCTGGCAGGAGGCAAGACAGTCAAATGAGACCTGTGGCCTAGATCAACCAGAAGAAAATGAAAACTACAGACCAACTGTCTTTGGACTTTGCTTGGCCCTTCTGATCAGGGCTGGCTGCTGCAAGGAGGAGCCCAGTTGATAGCCAATCATGACTTTTCCCTAGGGGTTAGGGGCAGCTTTGGCTCCTGGGCTGCAGTCCACAGGCAGAATGCGCCCTCATTCACATTCTTCAGCCGTTCAGCACGCAACGCCATGGCACCAGTCCCAACAAAGGCCCGGCTTCACTCTCCATTCCCAGGCCCTTGTGTATGGCCGGCCGGCTCAGAGTTTACAAAGACGCCAAACAGCCAGTGAATTGGGGTTTATGTTTCCTTTCAGTCTTTCACAAACACATTAGTGATCTGGCCTTTCCTCAACACTAGGGGAATAAGTAGTTACAAAATGTGCTGGTTTTTGTTGTTTAAATTCTGCATTTTTGGATGTTTATTATCTGTTTATTCATAATATTTTTATTTGGAGCAAGGGCTGAATTCTCAGCTACGAAGGAATGTGCTTTCTGTACATGGCAGTCCTGCTGCTTTGACAATGATGAACACAGTTAAGTTGTGCTCCACTTGTTTACAAAAGTCTGCTTTTGCTAGCACATCAAAAGCATTTTTTCTCTCCTCTAGTACAATGGTATATTCATGCTGGCAGCCTTTACTTAGAGGTTGGAAGCGTCACTTTATTGGTGCTTACCACAATGCAATCTGAAACTTCATTTGTTATTACTTGTAAAAAAAATTGCATTTCACGGAAATCTATTTGTGGTTTGTGACATCGGAATTGTAGTTTAGAGAAATGACCCTGCACTTTAAAATGCTGTGCTGCATTTGTTCTAGGTTGAAGGTGAAAGGTTGATGACCAAATTTGGTTTCATTGATATGCTGATGTTGAAACTCCTTTTCACTGGAAAGCTTAGGTAGAAGTTCAGCCACGGCCTGTGGTGTTCTTTGAATATGTATACAATCTTCTGGAAATTAGCCTTTCTTTCCAGCAGCTGTCCATGGACTACCTGAAGGCTGTGGATAATGTGGGCCTAGCTATCCTTTTCCTGCCATGCTTTAAGCAGTAAAGAAAAAAGGGAAGAGAATATGATTAGGTCTCCAATTTCTTCTAGTTTTGCAAAATAAGTATCAGGCCAAAATACTAAATCTCATAATCCCAACACACATGAATGACAAGAAAACAAGTACAGTGTATTTTATTTAAGAGATTCAATGTGTACTGAAACATTCCAGACTCCTCCAGCATGTAAAAGTGACTTGCAGAATAATCAGTGAAAATTCACTGTGAGTACATGGTTTGTGTGGACTGCCTCTTGTGCTGTCTTTTCACTCAAAGAGGTATATCTTTTGCTTTTAAATAAATCAAGGCCCTTATATTTGAAATGGGAAGTTTTTCTAATTCCAAAAATTGCATTTTCAAAAAATTTCATTATTTAAAGTCATTAGAATTCATAGGAATACTTCTATTTGTGTTTTTTTATCTATGCACTTAGGCATCTGGAAGGTTGTCATGAAAAAAGAAAATTAAGAGTTGGTATGCCAAGATTTTAACTGATGTATATTTTTGACTCTTGTAAATAGAACCCGAAATGAAAAGATCCTAGGAAGTCTGGGAGAACTGGCATGTTATTCTGCCTCCAGCCTTAGGCTCGTCTGCTGGGAGTTAGCTCAGAGACTTACAGTGACAGCCACTGACACATGAAGGAAGGACTAATCAGTATAATAGAAGATTCCTGATTGGGTTTCCTTGCTGCAGAATGACGCACATCTGGCCATCTCACACTTTGGAGAGCTGACGATACATAACGACTTAATGCAGTTTGGTGTAATAGAAGTAGATATAAAAATATGAATTAATTATGATGTGTGCCTTTCCTCTACCTCCACAAGAAACATGAACAGTAAAATCATCAGACTGATTACCTAAAGATGAACTAATGATTTACTTTTTGCGCTGTATTATTCTTCCCTAAACCTCATGTTAGATGCGATGCTGATGGTGGCAGAGAGGCTAGAGGGCCCTTTCAACATTGAATCAGTCATGGATCCCATCGATGTGAAGATTTCTGATGCTATTATGAACATGCAGGACAATAGTGTACAAGTGTCTCAGAAGGTAATGAAGGCAGGATACTGGAAAGGAGAGCCAGAGGCCCCCTCCAGCTTGTGATGTGACTTCCTTAATATGATCACGCTTGCTCCAATGCAGGTTTTCCAGGGATGTGGACCCCCCAAGTCCCTCCCAGCTGGACGAATTTCCCGTTCCATCTCAGAAAGTGCCTTCAGTGCTCGCTTCAGACCATATCACCCCGAGGAACGCCCAACCACAGCAGCTGGCACTAGTTTGGACCAACTGGTAAGCACACTGTTAGGAATGGCCATGTTTAATGACAAAAAGACTGAAAACATTTGCTAAAAATGCTTTTTTTATAGTTGTAAGGTTTACAAGTGTGGGTTTTTCAGGTAAAACTTTTCATTCAAGCAAATTGAATGTGAATGTCGGTAAATCTGCCTCTCTCATTTTCTGGCTCAGAAAGTTCATAAATATTCTAGGAAGTGTGATGCACTAAGTCTTATCTCAACTCCCGCTGTTGTTTCACCATGTATTTACTAAACATCTACTAAGAACCCATCACTGTGCCAGTTACGGGGGTCATTCAGAGGAATAACACAGGCCCTTATTCTGAAAAAGCCCCAACAAAGAGGGAAATGCAGACAATCCAGCTTACTAACTATGGTGATATACAGTACATGATGGGATGGAAGAAGGATAAGGAAATGTAAGCAAACTGCTTTATATGCAGCAGTATGCTTCAAATATAGCAGTAGGAAGGAACACAGAGAAGAGGAGGGAGGGCAGTAAAAGGCAAGTTTCGCAGAGTGGACAATATATAAGCTTGATTCTTGAGTTTAAATGGCTTGTGAGAAGAGAATGTATCTTATTGCATCCACAGGATATGGAACCTGGTGGGCCTCAGATGGCAGTTACAATGAAGGGGTAGAGTGGGGAGTGGGTCCAGGAAACTCCTTCAGAATATTTCAACTATTAATTCATTTGAGTGATATTGTAATTCTAAGTGTAAATTTGATCTTTATTTTTCCCTGGTGACTAAAGTTGGAAATGAATTGCCTAGCATTCTGGAGATACTTTAGAAATGATCAAAGGCACATGGCTAAGGTAGTTATGTGCTGTTTTACAGAAGTCTCTCTCTTGTTTTCCTTAATTAGGTTACTGATGTCAAGGAGAAACTGAAGCAGGCCAAGAAGTTCTGGTCCTCTCTTCCTAGCAACGTTTGCAATGATGAGAGGATGGCTGCAGGAAATGGCAATGAAGATGACTGCTGGAATGGAAAAGGCAAAAGCAGGTTAGCCTCCAGTGCATAGATTTGCCATCTCTCCCTTCCTAGGTGCCTGAGTAACTTTCAGAGAGTATTTTCTCAGTTGTCATTAGAGAAGCAATTCAGAGTAGGTAGCAACAACATGGAAGCCTTCAAGACTTTATTAGGAATTGGCTTTACTGTTGAAGTATTGAGAAGATACCCAGCTACTTGTACTGGGTCAAAGTTTGTGATAGTAGTAAAATTCTGGCATTAGGGCTCCAATCAGGGATCAAGCTTTTCCTCTAGTGTCATTTTTTAAAAATTTAACACCTGTGGTTCTTTGCCCACTGGCTTGGCCTATAAAGCACCAGATCCATTCTCTTATTTAATATGCCCTGTGTCCCTCCCCTACACATTCCATAACTTAAATAAGTACCCACTTCACTCTTGGCACTTCACTCTTGACTCATCAACCTCTGCAATGTGGGTAGCTTTCAAAAAGGTCCTGGTCAAATTGGAGAAAAGAGATGTATATCCATGAAAAGGAGAAATTCAAGTTTATTTAGAAATGGAAGTTAATTGTACTTAGTGCAGATACTAAAATCTAGGAAGAAATTTGATCTTCTGTAACTTTTGTTTTACTGATAATCTAACTGGGGTCATTTCTCATCTCAGGTACCTGTTTGCAGTGACAGGAAATGGATTAGCCAACCAGATCAGTAACCCAGAGGTTCAGGTTGACACCAGCAAACAGGACATACTGATCCTTCGTCAAATCATGGCTCTTCGGGTTATGACCAGTAAAATGAAGAATGCTTACAGTGGGAACGATGTGGACTTCTTTGATATCAGTAAGCATTTGCGGTTGTGAAGTACAAATTTTTCTCGTACACCTTGTGATGAGAACAAGTGGAATGAAATCTCTATTCTGTTGTTGTTTTTGTTTTTTTTTTAATAGCTGATGAAAACAGTGGAGAAGGAAGTGGAAGTGGATGTGAGTATCAGCAGTGCCCTTCGGAGCTTGAGTATAACGCAACTGACCGCTCTGGGAAGAATGCCAATGATAAAGCCAGCCGCGCTGGTGCCCGTATTGGGGCACAGCCCTACCTCCTCACTGTCTCCTGCATCTTGTTTCTGATTATGCAGAGAGAGTGGAGATAATTCTCAATCTTAGAGAAAATGTGTTCATCATCAAAAAAGTTAAAAGGCACCGGTTATCACTTTTATACCACCCTAGTGACTTTGCTTTTCAAATGAATGGACAACAATGTACAGTTTTTACTATGTGGCCACTGGTTTAAAATAATTCTGAATTTGTTTTTTATTCAGTTTTGTGGGGAAAAGGGACTTGTACATAAAGTAAGTTTCTGCTTCCCCAGAATCATGTTAAACGTGGCTAGCGGTATAGGTACAGAACTGTAGTTAGTTGTGCATTTGTGATTTTATCACTCTCTTGTTTTTCTTTATTGTTTGTTTTTGTTTGTGGGTTTTTTTTTTCCCTTCAGTAATGATCTCACCTTATTTCTTACAAGAAAACCAGGGTTCTTTCTTGGCATGTAACATGTACGTATTTCTGAAATATTAAATAGCTGTACAGAAGCAGGTTTTATTTATCACGTTATCTTATTAAAAGAAAAAGCCCAACAAGCAGTCAAATTTACGTTTATCCCTGTTGTTTTAGTTGCCTTATCTGGAGAGAAGAGGAGGTGATTTTCTTTTTTTATTATTAAGTTAGGACAGAATGTGAAGGCACAAGGGGGTTTCTAATCCACTTGCCAGGTTGTATTCAAGCATCAATACAAGAAAAATGTTATGTTTCATTTCTAGCTGGTGACTGGAAGAGACTGCAGACTACCCCTTTTGGTTGAGTCGAATTACATAAATTAAGATCACATATAGGTTCATTCCTTGAACCCTCTTAAAGTATAACCCATTCAGAAGATTCTTGATACATTTTCCCTAGAAAGATCTAAGGCCATACAGGACGTCCCAGTTGTCACATGTTCACACTTTTTTTTACAGGTGGGTTTTGTTTGTTTTGTTTGTTTTTTTATTTTGTTTTGTTCTCATCCAGGCAAGTTAGCAAGCCACTGTGTGCTAGTCTTCATGTCCATACATGATCCTCTTTGAATTGGTATCCCAGTGGCAGAAAAAAGTGACCAAGTATCTCATTTGATTCGCATTGTTACAGTATCTGAGATTTCAAACCCAGCAGTACAGAGAGGAGCTCTGTGGAGGCTAGTTGAAATTGGAGTGGGTACAGCCAGTGCTCAGGGAATTGCATTAACACTTGAGCAAAATTTTTATCTGTGCATTTGTATTTGCATTCATTTTGGGATTCCAGTTTTTTAAAAGAATTTCTAAGGTTCTGATTTGAGTCTTTCGTGCCTAGCCCCCTATGATCAGAAAGGCAAAACACTTTCAGTGGTTCATAGCTGTGTGCTACCCTATCAACCAAGAGGCCCACTTGGGGGAGATCTGGGTGTCCAGATTTTTTTTCATGTTTTGTGTTTTTGGAGGGGAGGTAGTAGGGGTAGGTAGAGCTGAGAAGAGAACATCTTAGCAGTGACCCTTAGCCATGTGGGTGAACTGGCAAACACCGTATCTTTTTGTCTCAGGCCAAAGACTAACAACTGCCTTGTCCCCTTAGGAAACGTTCCCTTGTGTCCTTACCAAATGACAGCTCATAAAACTATGAGAATGTGACAAATCACTTTAAAAAGAGTTTCCAAAAGTCTTCAGAAAGAAGAAAATTCTGCAAGTCTCTTCCTGCTTTAGACAACCATTAAGATCCCAATCATTTCTACAGAAATTAAAACCCACAGAGAGGTTGTTTGTGTTATTGTTCAATCTTCAGTTGTAAGAGTAATTCTCTATTTTTATATTGAAACATAATTACTTGATAGCTCAGGGTCTACATTTCATTCAACTTTTTACACCAAATTCTGCATAATGGTCAAAATGGAATATTGGGGGCTGTTGTAAACAGAGGCTTAATTTTATTAGAAGTAGCCAGTTATTTATTAAAGCATGATGTTAATAAAATAGGCATATTCTGGCTGGTGTGTATAAGTGGTTTTTTAAAAAACAAATCACAGAAGACATAAAATTGAAAAGGCACTCCATTTATGTATGAGGAAAAATGGATTGTAAATAGCTGAGCTGCCTTGTGAGAACTTGGAAAATGTGCTGATACTTAGTAACTACCTCAGTTGTGAGGAATTTCCTTTTTAGCTTAGACTGCTATTACTTTTACTTGGTAGAAATGAATCTGGTCTCCAAAATGTGGCTCAAAGAGTTATCCCCATAGACCTTGTTAGATTGTTTTTAATTTAAAACCTTGAACTCTGCCCAGCTGTTTTCTTTCAGTCAAGTTCTCTAAACCAATAACATTTTCCGAATTAAATATTCTTGAAGGTTCTTCTGGACTCTTACTGATTTGTTTTCTTTCTTTGCATCTTTTCTGTTACTCTTTTATTATTTAAATTGTCTCTTGCTTTTGAACTTGAACTATGAAATAAACAAATCATAGATTTTTTTTCCATTCAGGTCTGACTGGATAACTCTTGGCTTCTAACCAGCTGGCAGGCTCCGCCCCCCCCCCCGAAAAGAATAAAGGCAAGTTGAATATTTAAAAAACTTAAGAGTTCACAGTATGAGGTAGAAGAAAAGCTAAGTTAGGAGAACTGCCTTTTCCAAAGCCTCAGTTAATAGCATGTGAAGGGTTTGTGTTTTACAAAGGCATTTTTTAAATTATTTTTCTTTCAAACACTTCACCTACTCTCTACCTTAAGAGAACACATTTTGTGACTCTTAGATTTATATTTTCTCTGAAAAATAGTAATTAGCACTTATTATTTTGATAAAGTGCAAAGAATCAACTTGCATCTTTTAACTTTAGTTCCTGAGTATTAGAAATCTAACGGTTTATACATGAAGTAAAATTTATCGTTGGTGATAACACCAAAATAAAAATAGCTGTAGATGATGCTGCACAAAATTCTCCTTTGCCTTTTGTGTTGGCAGAATATGTCTATTTGCATAGCTAAAGGTTTGTATGTTAAAAATAGTATCTACTACAGGAGGCCTATGTGTATGTGTGATCACTCAAGCAATTGCCAAATTACCAAATACAACTTTCTGGGGTTTTTTTTTGAAATAAGAACAAAAGCACTGAGGAAATTCTTCCATCTAAGTGGAAAAATCATAACTCAGCATTCTGATATACTTTACAAATGCCTAATGCTTTCTTCTAAAAGTCCTTTTTATATATGTGAAAAACATCTCAAAGATTACATATGGTAATACAGGAATTCAAATCCACCAGTAAGGCAAATGCTGTATAATATTTACTTATCTAATTTAGGTTTCAAGTAGGTAATATATTGACAGAGACAGACAGGCATAGGATAATATTTCCATTTAAATTCTGCCTGTCTGCTCAGTTATCCCCATATTCTTGATAAATTTATTAGTTGTTTAGGTACATCTTTTTCCAAAGTTTATTTATACTTTGCAAACATGATTTTTAAACCTTTTTTGAAAATGAAATGCAGCATATTATGCCCTATAATATTTTATTTTAACTTTATTTAGAAGAGGAGGTCTCTTAAGATACATGTCTATTTTAAAGTTTTGGCTTCTCAGGGGTACCATATTTTGCCAAGATTAGGCAATTTTTCAAGGAACAACCATTGAATTGACCGAGGAGCAGTTTGGTTTTGTAGTTCTGTAATCTTGGATGCACAATTAGGATGCTCTCTATTCATGTTAAGGTTAACTTCTGGTAGTTTGTTTTCATATTTTCTCCAGTAAAGAAGACATTGGCCAAACCCTCTGGGAAGATCCCCTCTCTCTTTTTTTAAAAATTAATTAATTTATTTTTTCAAAAACCTTTGTCTCTGCCTTCCCCCCCACCACTTTCCCTGGGAAGATCCGCTTAAAACATATATTAATACCACGGTTAATACTTGTGAATGGTTCAGAGGAAATAGGCCCTGGAATTTACTCATTCGATTAGAATGAAGTTCTTTTAATGTTTTCTCAGTCCCAAATGCCTTGAAGCAGCATCAACTGCCAACACAAGATAAAGATGAAATTAGTATTAGGAAAATTTGTAACTAGATCTTCTTGGTTACTGCATGAATTATCTGTCCAATAGTAAAGGAGCATTAAAATATGTAAATAATGGTTCAAGTTCAGTTTTCATGTAAAGTTGAATATTTAGACATCAGTGTTTAAAGAGATTTCTAAGTTCAGCATAAGTCAGTAAAATCTACAGAAATCCGTTTCTCAGCATGAGTGTCCATGTGTGGAATTAAATGCAATTTTCACTCTGCTTTTGACATTTCTCAAAGAAATTTACAAATTCTGGAAAGGGCACAGGATTGTTGGAAGGAAAAAGATTTTCATGCATCAATCCTACCAGGTAAACGTTGATGGTGTGCTTAAAGAATGAAGATAGTTTCTTCATTCTTTAAGCACACCAAGTGATGACCCCAACATACTTCTCTAAAGGGTTTTATGGTCTTGTTCTCTGGTCTTTGGGGAAGTGTAGCAACAACTTGCTTGCCACTCTTATTTTTTCTTACACGACAAGATTGGAAGGTGTGCGTGTGTATACACACAATCATATCCACACACAGATTTATTTCTGCAGTTTCAAACATTTAATCCCAGGTGGACAGGTAGACCTTACCCTGTCATTTTGGGCTGCCTTCCCCCTGCTGTCAGTGGTGTGGGCTTGGGGAATGCAGACTAAATTTAATGATAGCCTAAGGGAAGCATAATTAGGAAGGTAAATCTCCTGCCAAGAAAACATACACACATGCACATATAAAATGCATTCCTGATAGGATTTCTTAGATTTACCACTGCTTGGGATTTGCTTTTATTCATCTCCATAAATAAGCTAAAACTGATGATAACATGGTGTTATGGGTGACTCACGGCTCAGGGCAGTTGGTACCAAGTCAGCCACAAAGAAATGATCATGGTCAGTGGTGATTTTCTGAACACACATAAGGATCTCAACCCTCTTTCACTGTATTTGCTTATAATGGTCGTGAGTGCCTTTGCTCTCACTTTTATTTTAAAATATAATGAAAAATTACTACTTTTCAGTTTCAATTCTGAATACTTTGCAGCAAGCTCTGGCAGCAGCAAAGTTATTTGAGCACACTATTTACTGTGAAAGAAAGTTATTCACCTGTCACCTCTCGACTGAGAGGTGAGATGGGACAGACCTGTGTGCCTGGAAATAAGACCAGGCCAGGTTGATTATCCTGCAGTCCTACAGCATAGAGATTTTTGCAGACGCTTGAAAGGACCCAAAAGTTAGGTCATTTGCCAAAGGGATGATGGGTAAAAAATTCAAGAAGCAGATTTGGAACAGAAGCTGATCTGTCACCAGAGCCTATCTCAGGCGCCACTTTCCCTTTGATTACCCTTCCCCCTTATTCCACGTTGTATTAATCTCGAGTAAGGAATGATCTTGTCAGGCACGCCGCATGTCAGCTGACCTTGGTTGACTTGGTTTACCTGATCATGGAGAAGGAATCAAGTACCACCTGGGGATATGAAAAGGTTTTCTAATCTTACATAGTGGCTCCTTGCTCAGTGCACTTTAATGCAGAAAGAGCTCAAATAATTGTGCATGGGGACAATGCCACCTCTGCTAGTTCTGGAAGAGCTGATATTAAATCAAGAGATCCTGCCCTTCATCTCTGGGACAGCCGTATATGACCCTGTGTGGAAGGGCTCTGCAGGTGCCCTGGAGCTGCATTGTTGGGAAGGGCCAACTTGCTGAGTAGTCAAGCAAACAAGCTGTTGAAAAATACCACAGTTTACATGGGGAATATTCATACCTGCTTAATGTTGTGGAGCTTTGTGAGGAGGTAGATACATCTTGGGATAGATGGGCCCCAGTGAATATAATGGGGGCTTGTTGAAGAGCCCTGGAGAAGACTTCATCTTAAAATCACACCTGGACAAGAGACTGTCCACACAACCCAAATAACAGGCACTGCTGTAAATGAGATGTATAACAATAGTTTTCTCTTGCTGGACTGATCTTAGTGCACATTAGGAAAGACGACATCTAAAGGTAAAAACCTATGTTTTACAGACAAGATATTTTGACATTTTCTACCAGGAAGGGAACCTAAGAGCTTTTGTTGGTTTCCTGGACACATGTTCCAACATGCCTATCAGGCAGTATATGCTGGAAAAAAGTGGAAACATCTTGATCTAGGGGTATGCAGGCTTGTGTCTGACCTTGACACACAACCTTGAAAAAGGTCCAGAGAGAAACATCTAACACTAGCAGGAACCAAAGGTTCTGCCTCCAAATGGAAGGCAGAAGATGCCTCACTAGTCTGTAAAGACAGGCTGAGAGGCAGTGTAATTAAAACTGGAATTGGAGGTTGTGGGAAGGGTGAATTCCTAGAACTAAAGGCAGACTATCCCCTTAGATTTAGTAAATTACCAATTTTGAGCAAGCAGGAATTAAACCTTACTCAAGGGTAGTGACTTATGTAATTGGTTAAGCAAATGGTGCTGCTGTAGGCTGACAGCAAACAAAATCTTGATTAGACGTGGATCAGAGCTGTATGGGGGAAAGGAAGCAGCACCTGGAGAAGGGCATTATTCAACCTGCCCCTTCAGCTATTGGCCCACAAGCAAGTCAGGGCTGGATGGACCCTTGTGTGCCCCACATTGCATAATTTGTCTACTAATTTACCTTTTGGAGAACTGTAATTCAAGGACAACCAAAGAATTTGAAGGTCCTTATTTTATTGAAACAGACTCCAAAGATCAAGTACCTACAAAGACCATCCCTTGGTTACCAGAGGTCTCTAATGGCAGTCATTCTGGCCCTGGATCTGTGGGCCTCCAAAACCACTTGGAATTTTAGGCAGTAATATGACTTACGATACATCTGACCTTGATCTCTGTATGGGAGGACAAGAATGAGGATATAAGGAAGATGGGGTCCTCACCCTCAGGAAACCCATAATTCCAC